AATGTCTGTACATGTTCAGTACAGCTTTAACAAGTCCATGCAGGCAAACAGAATAACTTGTACACAAGAATTGTAGCCCTTTTCTTGCTTAAATAATTTATTTTAAAAATCCTTGAGAATGAGCAGGGTTCGGAGGGTTACGTTAAAAATGTAATCCAGTACAGTTACTAATTAGTTGTTAAAATGTAATCAGTAACATAATCCAAGTACTAGAAAATAAAAGTAATGTAACCTGATTACTTTTAGTTACTTTTGGATTACTTCAATACCAGAACCACAAATAAAGACAAGAGAATATCAAAGATGCTCAGTGTATTTGAGCCCATTCTCACTTTATGCATGTCGACCGGCTAACCCGCGCACATGCTAACAGGTAGGGTTAGCCTCCCTCGTGTTGCTGCAACGTAGCAAACGAGGGCGTTTCATACGGACACGGAACGGTACCTTTAGTGTAAAATCCTTACGCTTTGTCACCCTGTCTGAAAGCGTCAGTTATGACACATTGAGATGAGAATGCATTGTGTATTTTTACAGAAACATACAATTATACAATATCCCATTCTCATGAAATCAAAATCGATGTTTAGGCCTAAATGTTTTTATATGATGCCTTGCACTAGGCCCATAAGTCATGGCAGGATCTGGATCTGGACCATCAATGACCAAAAGTGTGTCATTTCCTGAAAAACGATTTTAAAATGTTGATGAATCACCCTGCGCTGTGCCTGTATTAATTTAGTGTCCAATGAAAAGTTTTTTTTTTATTTTCATGATGCTGCTGAAAAATAGTGTTTCTGGGACTGGGTACCACTGATTACTGAATGAAAGCACACCTTTATTCACTGATTTTGCTGAAACAGGATCATATTTGATAGAAAATATTATTTGTTTTTCCTCTCAGATGTTTCCCGGCTGTTCTGCCTCAACTTTGTGATTTATGAGTTTCCCCGATGGACACATACGTACCTTTACATGTTGCTGTAGCAAGTCAGCTAACTGCTGCTAACTAGCTGCCAATATCTAATTAGCTCAGTTAGCCTGCAACTACTGGAGTCTGTGCTCGGGTCCAGCTGCCGTGTTCACTCACTGGAACAGGGGTTATGTACTGTAACCTGGATTCTATGAGTATAGGCGCAGCCCTCTAAGGCTATCGCTATTGGGCTAACCCCTTCCGTGCGCCTGCGCGGCACTGAGAATTTTAGTCTACACCCACCCACAGCGTGGGCCTCTCCTATGTCCGCACCTTGATTATATACAATGGTGAGACCCAGCCATCGGCTCCCAAATGCCTTTTCTTCAGCACTGAGAACCAAGGTACAGTGAGGCCTTCAACTTAGAGGGCTGCGCCTATACTCATAGAATCCGGGTTACAGTACGTAACCCCCGTTCTATTTCGTATAGGCTTTGCCCTCTAAGGCTATCGCTATTGGGTTAGAGACGAAGCAGGATGAGTCAATGCCTCACTGGCCCATACGGTACCACCAAGCACAACTCACCTGCCCAGAGCCATAATGAGCCACCCAGTCGCCTGCTGACCGCGGCAGTGGTGTCGGCGTGCGCGCAAGCAACAATGGTCATCCCACCGTGCAACGCCACTGAGGAGGAGACACTTCTCATGGAGTGCGCTCTGATGCCATCTGAGGGAGATTCACTGGCAGACATGTAAGCCTGGGAAATGGCATTGCGCATTGCCAGTGAGACTGCACGCTGCACCGACAGGGGAAGTTCCTTGGACCACTACCTGTAGTGCACAAACAGATGCTGCGAACGGCGCCACATGGCCGTGCACACCACATAACAGGACAGTGCTCGCACCGGGAAGAGGAGGTGGGACGTGGCGTCCTCCACCGAGGAGGACAAGAATCCGAAAGGGTGATGACCCGCGACCAAAAGGAGTTCATAATGCTTTTAGGCATGAACGCCGGGTTAGGGTGCAGAACAGCCAAGCTGCCGTCGCCCTGAATCTTGAGACACGACGGAGCCACAGAGAGAGCAGCCAGATCGCTGACCCTCATTGCAATGTCAGAGCCAGGAGCAAGGCGACCTTAGCCGAAAGGAATCTCAGGTCCGCCGTCTCCAAAGGCCCAAACTGGGCTTGGGTTAAGGCGCGTAAACAGCGGCAAATCCCACTGTGGGGCAACAGGCCGCGTCACCGGCCTGCACCTCCGCACCCCCCTAAGGAAATGCTTCACCAGGGGGTGGGGGAACAGAGTCCATGAGCAACTGGAGGAACGAAAGCACCGCTGGCAGTGGAAAGCCGACCACTTAGAGGAGTAAGAGGACTGAGTGGAGGCGGCCCTCGACCCCTGGATGGTGCAAACCACCTCACGGGAGAGACCTAAGCCCTCCAGGTTTTGCCTCTCAGCGGCCAGACCCAGAGAGGCTGGCCGAGGAGCGGGTAACTCCTGATCGCAGCCACGCCTGAGAGAGCGTCCCCCCTTCAGGGGGGCTGCCCCGCCAGCAACCACTGTAGACAGGGAAACCAGGACGCGCTGGTGTGCTCCGGGGCCACCAGAGTCACCGCCAAGGTTGAAAACTGCAGGCGATCCAGAAGGCGCAGGATCAGCCGCACCAGCGGAAAAGCATACAGCAGCCGGGGAGGCCAAAGGAGGACAACTCCCAGCGCGCGCTCAGTGACAACCAAAGGGCGCACTGAGCGTTCTCTTTGTTGGCAAACAGATCCACCTCTGCCCTGTCGAACTGGAGCCAGATCTGGTCGCCAGATCGGGATGGAGGTGCCACTCGTCTGGGAAAGGGCCCCTCCTTGACATGATGTCCGCCCCTCTGTTCAGCACGCCAGGGATGTATTCTGCTCTGATGGAGAGCAGGTGAGTGTGCGCCCACAGGAGCAGCTGCCTGGCCAGACCTAACAGCTGCGCCGAGCGCACCCTGCCCTGACAGTTTATGTAGGCCACCGCGGCCCTGTAGTTGGTGCGGACCAGTGCTAGTCCTGCAGCAGAGGGGAGAATGAATCACCTTCCACACCGTGAGGAGCTCCAGCACGTTTATGTGGAGAGGCCTGCGGCCCTGCCACAGACCGCCCACCACCCGAGAAAGGCAGGTCCCGCCCCAGCCCATCAGGGAGGCATCTGTGAAGACCGTGATATGGGACGTGACCCTGCCCAGGAGAACCCTGACCAAAGAGAGGGTGTCCCGCCAGTAGGCCAGATCAGGAGCCTCTGTCTCACCGGGTCGACACGCAGGCGGATGAACCAGTGCTGCAGCCTCCTCATATGGAGGAGGCCCAAGGGGACCACCATGTGAGCCACCAACATTAGGCCCAGAAGCCTCATGACCGACAGAGCTGCCACCGCCGCTCGAGGGACAACACGGCAGAGCAGCTCCACCAGAGCATCCCCCCTCGCCTGAGAAAGCCGCGCTCTCCGGAGAGAGGAGTCAACAAGATTCACAGTTTTTTTTCAACCCATAGCTTACCAGTGGTCTGCTCTGACCGACAAGGGTTGGCCAGCAGCAATGAAACCAGTTGCTAAATGTCATTAGCCGCAGCTAATGTGGAGCAACGTGGCTCCCTGTTAACTTACCTCGCTGCGGCAACCTAGTAATGTCGAAGCCGCCGTCATCGGAGGTCGGAACTGGGGAAGCTTGGAGCTGCTCGGAGACCCAAGAATGGGAAGAGTGGAGCCATCCAACTCCCGCTCTTCCATCAACAGCAGATCGAGGGCTTCGTCTAGAGAGCGGGTGGACCGCCACACCTCCTCGTCCTGAACAGCAAGCTATCCGCCCGGCACCGCCACTCTTCGGGGGGAGAAGGGCGCAGAACGGTCAGTGCGAAGTGAGAGTGAGCGCTCGGCTGGTGTACTCCGGTCAGAGGCACGCCTCGCAGTGGGGACGGAGATCACCCAGCACAATGTAGCCCGTGTGGCAGACACCGCGGAGTATTGCCCCGTTCTGGCTGGCTTGCTGGAAGACGTCGTTCTTCTTGTTTTCTGGCTGGAAAGTCTTTTGCTCTCTAGACAGCTCAGTGCTGAAGAAAAATGGAAGCCGATGGCTGGGTCTCACAGTTGTACACTCTAAAAAATAAAACATTGGATCAACAAAAAAAAATATTTTAACGTTTTCCACTAGAATTTTTAAGTTAAGACTGCTGGCAGAATTACATTAATTCAAAGCAATGTTTTGAGTATGGTTAATTACATTTTAGGCCACAATAAAACGCATTTCTAAGTAACATGAACTTAATAATTGTCAACATGAATGCAAGTATTTAAGTTGATCCAACATAACGTTTTAAGTTAGGTTAAGAAGCTTTTTGGCCACAATAAAAACACATTTCTAAGTAACATGAATTTAATAATTAAGTTGATCTCTCTCTCTGGCTAACTGGCTAATATAAACGTAGCTAGTCTACATGCTAACCGGAGCGGTGGCTAATGGGTAATCCCATATTAAGTTAGCTTGCCAAGACGTTTTCCCTGGCTACCTGGCAACCTATTATTCCCGGATTTAGGCCCACTCAATCGGTGACAGGCTACAGCTGCTAGCTAACTTTACCTCGGCACACAGACTGTACTATCAACACTGCTCAAATTTCAGAGTAAGGACTTCCAGATTTCGGTATTCGGTTACAGTACACAGTAAAAAACATTAAGGCTAAAATTAAGTTTCCAGAACTTAAATATTTGGAGTTTGGGTTACATATACTTTTTGATTACTTTTAGATAAAATTACTGATTAACATAATTCAAATATTTATAGTTAATGCAACTCTAAATCTTGTTAAATATTTTCAATTACTACTAACTCAAAATCATTGACTTCCTCATACTCAAATAATTTACCCCAAAACTTAAAATATTTGTGGCAACTGATTGCCTTAATTACACTGAGTTACTACTAACTAAAAAAAATAAATAAAAAAAAGTCAAATTAAAAGTACAAGTCAATATTTTTGCCCATTTCCCACGTCTTTTTAGAACAGATTGAAACATAAACAACATTTGAAAGAAAGAAAAACATCTAATTAAAAAGAAAAAACATACAAAAAACAAATTAGCAATTGCAAAGACACACTTTGGACCATCTTTTAACCTGATGTTAACCCGGATGCTCAGTAATTCTCATAGATACAACTACAACTCCATTATCACAAGTAACTTTTCTTTATTGAACAATCATTATCAAATATTGTAACATCTCCTGCCATTTCTATATTTCACAGAAACAAACCGTTTATGTACATGATTAAATTCAAACTTCTTTCAACAAGTACTTTTAGGCACAGCTTCAGTGGTTTGCTATCATCAAGACATTATTATTTTCTGAAAAAAGGTGAATGTGTAAATTAGTTTCTTTGGATAGTCACTCACAATTTCCTCTTCCTCTACAACAGAAACGCTCTCAGGGTTGAAGTGGACCTCAGCAGGGGCGTCGTCAGTGACCACAGTGAGGAGAGCCACAGGCGTGTCAGCAATATCTGGTTCATCTTTGCACTGCAAAATACAAACAATCCAATTATGAGGATAATTTTAAAAGACAGGTTGCATATCATGCACTGCTTCATCGGTGCCCCCCACAAACTGAAAGCACCAATAACTCTTATTGTACAAATCACATTTTAGCATTTTATTGAGATAGACTAAATACTAGAAGAAAAAAAGAAGAAAAAAAATCTATGAATTAGGGTTGGACCGAGACGATGACTGACAGACATCACAATGTTGACCCGGCATCGTAACTGTAATCTTAGTCTTAATTTTTCACATTATACTACCCTGTGAGAGCAGTTTTTAATCCCCACGAATATTATTATAATTTTTAAATATACCCGCTTTGCACCTCCCTTTGACTTCTCCTCTCCCCACATTCACACAGACCTACACCTCTGGTCTCTCACTGCAAACACACAGGCTTGTCCTGCCTCTCTCTGTTTCTCTCCCTCCGTCTACTCCACTTTCTCCATCAGCAGTATGTTTGATAAAGTTGCCTAAATGACACAGAACTCGTCTTTTTTCCGTATTTTTCCACCCACGATCCGTTATCACCTCAGCAGGTGAGCTGCGTGTCAGCTTGTTAATGACATAGCCTTTCAAAATAACCGAAAACAACATCTGCACCCTGTGTGTTGACTGCTGCTTTACCTGGTCTTACTTAAAATATCCACGGCAATTTGTAATGTAATAGGCTACCAAGTTTTTTACGGAGTGAAGTCGGTCAGTCTGTCAAATGCTGGAAGAGGCAAAGTTGGTTTGCCATAGTACATTTCATTGATATTGACATTGTGTGCGAGTATACTGAGGATTTACATTGCGGGTCTTGAAGAAATCAGTCATCCTCTCGCAGGTCCACTGGGAGGGCAGAATGCATCTCATGTGTACATCATGTTGTTTCTAGATTGATAATCAAAATAATTATCATTATACAAATGTTTTTTCAGTACATTAAGGCATATAGTTTAACAGTTATACCAATGTAATTGTAAAAGAATAATAATACTATTATTAGCAACAACAGCAATAACAATAATAAATCCATCCAGCTGCAACTACGTATAAGACAAGACTTACAACATGACAAAAGATATTTGGAAGCCAGTGCAGTAGGGCTGGACCCCAGTATTCTAGTTATTCACTCGGTAGGTTTTCGGTTTTAGATTTGGTGATTTTGATAGTCGCACCAGCACCCACACTTCAACCCTCAACCCTGCACACACACAACAGCTCACACCACCTCTTTCTGATTGTCTCTCGCTGTATCATACAGGGACAAACACTTACACGTGGTTTGTCAGCAGTAAGTTTTATAGCCAAACACTGCCTGTGTTTTGAACCTCTTTGGCCCAGATTTCATGTTAACAACTTTTGGATGGATCTGCATGTGGAGGAGGCCTACACTACATCTCTCTCTCGGTCTGTTCCTCTGCACTGTTAGCAGACCCTACAGGGGTCAATCATCGATGGCATTGGTCTCTCGGACAAGTAAAAAATAAAGTGAGGATTCTCTGATTTGTATCATGTGTTCAGTGCAGCCTAAGAATAGCCATTTAAAATAGGCTTGTAATAACTTTTAAAGTGATCATGTACTGGAAAACAAAGCAAAACAAAATGACACAACTGTGCAAATGTGAAATGACCATTGAAAGTAGATGTCATCATAATCATCACAAATTCAGAATAACTGTATTGCAGAGATGTCCTAATCTGTAATGACCACACATTTTGTGATCTACATTGTGGCTATGGCAAAATTAATCTTACACTCACCTGGAGGTCATAAATCCTAGCACTCCACCTGGACAGGACAATCAACTGTGTTGTCAAGCTCACAGTTGAATTGGCTCCATAGGTTCAACATTAGTCATGATGACGATGGAACTCAGAAAACACCTGCAGACATTCAAACACATAAATGTATGTAGATTAATATTGTTACCACTAAGGGAATTTTCGTTTAATAAGGAAGCATCCTAGTAAGTTCAAATGATGCCCGTATGTTCCTTTAAATACCTTAACTCAAGTCTTTCAAATCTATGCAGTATAAAATGCATCAAGTCTACATAATCTTGAATAATTCAAATGAAATACACTAACTCTTATGCAGAGATGTGCAAATTGAAAACATACCTTGGATAGCTGTAGTGTCACTCAATACTTCATCTTGCAGGAGCAGGTACAACATGAAGAATTCCTATTAGTCCAGTCAACAAGAACATCATCATTTGCAGATTTTTTAAAAATACTATATGTTATCATTTCACTTACTCACCGATACAAGAGCTGCTTTCGCAAGTCAGGTGATTATGGACATGATGAAATCCCTTCAGCAGCACCCTCTATAGTCCTTAATGGGCACAAAATATATGAACACCAACTTTTTATTAGTTTACAAAATAATGGCCATGTAAACACTTTTCACAAACATGTGATACTGGCACAGTTTAATGTTGTGAGAAATGTATTTAGTCTCTAAGAGTAAGTTTCCAGTTTATTCGTTACATCTAGTTTAAATATCTGAGACAATGCTAAATAACACAAACTTTTTGTGTGATAATGCAACTCATGTCAACATAACGTTACCACAAACATATTCCAAAATGAACAAATGATAAAATAGTTTCAATGAAAACTGAGCATTCTTCATCAGTTAAAAGGTTTCATTACCACAGTGGAAAAAAACTTTTTTCAAATACATATTAACGTTACAGCCACTTCAGGCGAGGCAACTAGTCTCTGCAATAGAAGGGCTAAGAAGAATCATTAGGTTTACAGCTAATAAAATGAATCTTTTAGCCGTGCATCAACACTATTTCAGGAAAAGCTTATAAACAAACGCAGAGGTTGACTGTCTCCACATTATAATGTTAATTAACGTGAGTTACCTGACAGTGACAGCAGTTCACAACAGTGCAAACTTAAAGTTACCTCAATGTGAGCCAGCTTGCTTCTAATTAACGTTAGCCTTTCTGTAAACGTAACTGCGCTTGACAACAGAGCCGAAACGTGATAAACTTTTTTACTCACTGGGCCAAAGCGCATTCTCTGCCGACTGTCAGGCGAAGGCTTCAGTCACAACATTACGTTACTTTGGAGCTAATGTCCGTTAACGTTAGCATAAAAGTAATGCGCCAAACTGCCTCTACATCCTGAAGCGGTCCTCCCAGAGCACACACAGTTGTAAAATAGAAGTTAAAGAACACAAAAACATTTCTTTCACAGCGCTGCGAATAAATACTGGTTCTCTCGACTTTTGTTAAATAGGTTATTAACAGTTTTGCTCCGTTACTTGCAAAATCGTCTCCCTCGCATCTGGTAGCCATCTTGAATTTTCTGAAAACAGTCCCGTTTGGCCGTAAATGACGTCACACGTCAGCGTGCGTCTCAACACTCGGAGGGTTTGATTTAGAAATCCATCACTCAAAAACGATGATACACACATAATTAAAACAACATAACTCGTTAAGAAGACTTGGTTGTTTAGTGTATGGTGTACTTAGTAGCTGGTTTTGATTGCTGAACTCATAAGTCTTTTGAGTAAGCAGTGTGTTCAGGTTTACAGTGTAGGCTATCACCAACAGAATCCTGAGCGAATGCAAATATGTGTAATTAAACATAAAATTACTTACCATTCACCATGTTACACTTGAATGAGTTTCAGCTGTGGCCCTGTGGTCACTCGTCTGGCCTTGAACATGCCCGCACATAAAGGAGAGGGAAACTGTGAGCCGTTTACATGTCATCAAATTGTATTTTTACATTAACAGAACTTAAAATTAAAGAATTTTTTGATTAACTGAAAATGTTAAACTCTGAGAAGTCATGATAGTATATTGAATCAATAGGCATAATTTGTGTGTCATCCATGTTCAATAAAAAAACAATTAAAAGTAAAAAGTTTTTTATTTCACAACAACATATATATTTAAGTAATGACTTATAGTATGCATTTAAGTAATAAAGGTCCCCTGAATTTGTTTTTAGAGTATATATATAAATGGTGCCTACGTAGGAGAGGCCCACGCTGTGGGTGGGCGTAGACTGAAATTCTCAGTGCCGTGCAGGCGCGCGGAAGGGGTAAACCCAATAGCGATAGCCTTAGAGGGTGAAGCCTATATGAAATAGAAGCTGGAATCAGTCTGCACAGAGTCTGCATGATGGGGAGGGGGCGTAACCACGTTCAACTACTGGCTACACGCCAATCAATATCTGCGACAAATCCCTCCCTGTATATTTTTACAGGAAAGACATAAATAGCAAATAGCAGTCTGCTTTCCGTTTCATGGAAACTTTGTGTTGAAAGTAATCTCTATGTGTAATCCCCATTTTTACAAAATGCACCTGTAATCTGATTACATCTTTTTTTCTGAACTGTAACGGAATACAGTTACTTTATTGTTGTATCCTGTAACACCGTTACATGTAATCCCTTATTCTCCAACCCTGAGAATGAGAATATTTGACAAAGAAACTGTAAATGAACTGAGAATGTTTTTAAGTATTTAAAAGGTGGAGAAACACAATTAGACAATTTGAATGGCTTGTAGCCAAAGTTCATGCTGCTGCTGCCAAACAGGAAACAGCATGTTTAAGGTGAAAAGCTTGTTTCTTGTTTATTTGGTATAAAAATTAAAAGACCCCTGAGCTGCTGTAATATGGCAAGAAAAGGCATCAATCAAGGATTCCCACATCCACTGTGAGAGCAGTTTTATGTCGTTAGTTTTGTCAGCCACTCCCCGTCTCCTCTTTCTGCTTTTCCATCTTCTGTCTCCCTCTATTTTCTGCACTGCTCCTCTTTCCTCTCATTTCCACCCCTTAATCATACACTTGTATCTCTCTTGTGTGTGTTTGAGGAGGAGGGAGGGGCAGCTGTAGTAATAAGACCATTAATCATTGAGAATAATTCGCAGAAAAATCAGCCAACCTTGTTGAATTTGACAGTCACCATATTGGATCTGTATGCTGTAACAAAATATATGGTCAGATAAGGAGCTTTGAGTGTGACCCATGAGGTGTTTTTTTTGCACATTTATGGAAGTATTTGTCCAAATTTACTGTTATTAACATATTTGTTTGTGGATGCTTTCCAATTTCGTTGAACAATTGACCAAAGCCTAGTCTAAAGAGAAACATAATCACAGTGTATTGTTTTACTGTGCATGATATTGCCAAAGTGTTTAGATCTTATGCATACTATTTACACATTTGCTTTCCTAAACCTAAACTATACTCATAGCATAATGGCTGCCTGTTCCATCCTTCCAAAACAAACCATATGGTGTTAATAGGGCTGATGCAGCAATTTCAACAGCAGCTTATAAAATCAAAGCCATTCTTCCGTTAAAGTCAACTCTAATCTAAAGTATTGGCCTTCATGGGCCATATGGGAGCCTTTGTGTGTTACAATGAACCTAAAGGCAGCTCAAGATATAGAAAGACACATTCCTGGTAGTTAATTCATTTTAGCTTGTTAGATCATTTTCTTACCTTTGAAACGCCATTCTTCAAACGTAAAAGTGCTCCTCCAGTCTGGCAGTTGGGCAGATGCTCGTCATCTACATCAAATATGTTTATCTATTGAAAATGATGTTATTTAAACATTTAAACTGTGGTGGAGTTTAAAAGCCTCATGTGTGATATGAGTTAAGAGTTATTTGCTAATTTAAACTAAGCGTCAAGACGCATATTGTTTAAGAAGGCTTTTTTTCTGGTCGGTACCCACATGAGCACTGTTTTAATGAGCTTGGTTCCCAGACGGAAATGTTTCAAAAACCCCTGTGTGTGGGATTAATAACTTTGGAGGAGGGAGCTATAATAATAAGAATGGAATAATTCTGGGATGTTTGTGTGTGTGTGTGTGTGTGTGTTGTACCAATTCTGTCACTAAGACCATGCCGCTATGTGTTTTGTATTCAACACTGACTGTGTCTGCCTGTGTATATGTGTGGGTTAGTGTCCTAGTGTGCTTATGTGTGTATCTGTCTGCTACGCACCACCAATAATATTGTTGTTGCAATGGAAAGGGCAATGTCACGCATGTATACAGGCATACAAACACACACCAACACAGTGCAGTAATGTTACACATGAAGGGTGTCAGTAATGGGATTCTGTTCAGACCAGTGTGACCATGCTGCACTGAGCTAAGGTCATTGATACCATATCAGGAGCTGAGAGAGAGTGTGTGTGTGTGTGTGTGTGTGTGGGGGGGGGGGGGGGGGGGTTCAACTATGGGTAAGGGAAGTAAACAAAGGAACACACTGGCAGAAAACGGCTATGAAAAAGGGATGTTTGCTATTAGTTGGTGCGATCTAGTTTCCATACATAAAGTACTGCAGCCATTGGGTGTCACCCAATACATGCATTGTCTTTTTTTCTTCTCTATTATTTTCTCTTTTAACCCCTCTGTTTTTTTCTTCTCTCCCTATCTGACTCTCCTCCCCATCCACTTTCCTCACACTTTCTGTCTTTGGCTCTGGTCTTCCTCCAACACTTGCCTCTTCTCTTCTCTTCTCTCCTCTCGTCTCTTTCCTCCTTAGACAGGGCTATTCTCTTCCTGTCAGGCAGACAAGCACTGTTTTCTACCCTGGTGAGACTCTTTTCATCGCATGTGTGTGTCTGTGCCCACATACTGTACAAGTGGCCATTTGATTGTGTGTGTGTGTGTGTGTGTGAAAGACAGAAATGTAGCACATTTCATAAGTGGCCATTTGCTTCCTGTGCCTGTATACCTGTGTGTGTGTGTGTGTGTGTGTGTGTGTGTGTGTGTGTGTGTGTGTGTACATGTATGTATGTGTTTCCCTGTTGTGACAGGGTTGAAATCCAAGCTGACATCCCCTTCTCCCTGCAACAGCATATGCCCCTCAGCAAGACCACTGGGAGACTACAGAGAGAGAGAAAGAGGGAGGGAGATGTAGAAGGAGGGGAGAGAGAGGGGGAGGGCAAAAATAGAGAGTAGTGGTGGGGGGCAGACAATAGGTAATGGGTGGCAATAGGGAGAAGATGGTGGAAAGGAAAGAGAAGAGAGAAATCACCAAAGAGGAAGAGAGAGGAACAGGAAGAGAGCCACAGACTAAGACCAAGACAGAGGGAGAGAAAGCACCCCCACTGCGTTCCTTTCAGTCCTGCTAGCGTTGGCATGTGTTAAATGTAAAGCTGCTGGCTGACTCACCATGCTACCAGCTCATAGTCAGCACTCTCTACTGCTCTTGTTTGACAGAGAGACAGAGGGAGAGAGAGAGACTACCAGCTTAGATTCAACACTGTCTTGTTCAACGATGGAGGAAGAGAAAACAGAGGGAAATTAGCAAAACTCTTCTTCTTCCCTGTCCTGCTTTTCAAACACTTTTCAAATACATAATCAGTGGTAAAGCACACATTTGTCCTAGGTTGTTTATCAGAGCTGTTCACTAAATGAACAGGTGAATATTTAACACCAAATCCAAAAGATGGTTGTATAGAATCATCAGTGACACTGACAAAATCATTAGATTAGTGCCAACAAGTACTATTGCTGATGTAATCTGCACTCTGCGCATGCGTTGGCGTCTGTAGCCACCTGTCGGAAGCTCCGTCTTAAACCGGACTCTTATCCAGTTTTAATCCACTCTTTTTCGTTACATTTCTTATATCCTTTTTATTTAACTTAAGTTTTACGTGGGTTAAGGATTTTAGTCATCCGACATGGATTTTAAGCTAGATGACCGTAAAAACGCGATCAATGCTACTGATCACAACAAAGCTCCGGTGACTATGCTAGCCTATATAACTCTGCCCCATGAGGACTGCACACTCCTTAAGAAAGCGAACAAGAAGATTGCTGACCTTATGGAAGACATCCGACGACTTTCAGAGGAACTCAAAGAGAAAGATTCCCTGCTGACTGGCTTTATGGATGCGGCTTCAGTACAAGCCAAACAGATTGTTTCTCTTAGCGCAACCGCTAACATCCAGGACACTGTGTTTTGGGACCCCTCTAGCCTTCCGAGGGTTTCATCCTGCTCGACTCCGAAGCATCAGTCAACCGGGGCTGAAGTGGTGGTCCGTGGCTTTAAGAGAGGCTCGGATGGGGCTGCCTCTCCTCCACACATCGGCCTCTCCAACCGCTATGCAGCCTTGTCTAACGACACTCCGGTCCATCCAGCTGATGCACCTGTGGCTCCCTGATACGGATCTCTTTCGGCGCACAGTGCCTGCCGACACTGTTGCATCTCCTCCACCGGCTACATCTCCCGCGCTGGGCCGCCGGTCTGCCGGTCTGCCGGTCTGCCGCTGGGCCTGATCGGCGGCAGTCATCCCGGTCAAAAACC